GTATTTTAAGTAGAGACGGGGTTTCACCATGGCCAGGCTGGTCTTGAACTTCTGACCTCAGGTGATCTGTCCTCCTCAGCCTCTCAGAGTGCTGGGATTACAGGCATGAGCCACTGCGCCCGGCCTTTTTTTTTTTTTTTTTGAGATGGAGTCACCCAGGCTGGACTGCAGTGGCACAATCTTGGCTCACTGCAACCTCCACATCCTGGGTTCAAGCAACTGAATTAGTAAATATTAATTCCCTTCTCCTTATAACCATATGAGTTTGAGAAATTTTTGTTCTTAACTGTGGTAAACCAGAAAAGATTAGATGTTAATACTTGCAAGATTTTTTAAATGTTTGTTAGTGTTTCTTTGCTCTATGATCACATCAAATTCTAAGTATAGAAAACTTTTTGTTTTGGTCTATTTTTGTTTATAACAGCTGTAACGAGATACAATTCACATACCATAAAATTTGTCCTTAAAGGCTGGGTGCAGTGGCTCACACCTGTAATCCCAGCACTTTGGGAGGCTGAGGTGGGTGGATCACGAGGTCAGGAGTTTGAGACCAGTCTGGCCAACATAGTGAAACCCGTTCTCTACTAAAAATACAAAAATATTAGCTGGGCATGGTGGTGGGTGCCTGTAATCCCAGCTACTTAGGAGGCTGAGACAGGAGAATTACTTGAACCCAGGAGGCGGAGGTTGCAGTGAGCTGAGATCACGTCACTGCACTCCAGTCCAGGCGACAGTTCGAGACTCTGTCTCAAAAAAGAAAAAAAAATTTATCCTTAAAAGTATACAACTGAGTGGTTTTTAGTATAGTCAGAGTTTTGCAACTATTACTAGTATCTATTTTTATTTATTTTTATTTATTTATTTTTTGAGACGGAGTCTCGCTTTTGTTTCCCAGACTGGAGTGCATGGTGCAGTCTCGGCTCACTGCAACCTCCACCTCCCGGGTTCAAGCGATTCTCCTGCCTCACCCTCCCAAGTAGCTGGGATTACAGGCATGCGTCACCACACCCGGCTAATTTTGTATTTTTAGTAGAGACGGGGTTTCTCCATTTTGGTCAGGCTGGTCTCAAACTCCCGACCTCAGGTGACCCGCCCGCCTCAGCCTCCCAAAGTGCTGGGATTACAGGCATGAGCCACCGCACCTGGCTACTTGTATCTAATTTTATAACTCCATTTTCATTACTCTGAAAAGAAACTCCATACCCATTAGTAATCACTCCCCGTTTCTCCCTCTCCACAACCTGTAATCTGTTTTCTGTCTCTATGGATTGGCCTGTTCTGGACATTTCATATAAATGGAATCATATATGACTTTTCGTATCTGGCCTCTTTGACTTAGCAGACTGTTTTCAAGGCTGAAGCATATATCAGAACTTCATTACATTTCAAGGCCGATATTCCATTTTATGGATAGAGACAACTTACCGTTTATCCATTCATCACTTGGTAGACATTTGGATTGTTTCCACTTTTTGGCTATTATTAATAATGCTGCTGTGAACATTTGAAAGTTTTTATTGTGGACATATGTTTTCACTTCTCTTGTATATATGCCTAGGAGTGGAATTAGCGTAGACTTTAGTTGATAAGGCAAGGAATGAAATGATATGAGAACTAAAGTTTCTTATTTGGGGGATTTGGGATGTTCCCTTCTATGTTAGTTCCATAAGATGGAAATTCTTTGCTCTGGACCTCACAGAGCACTGTACCTCCCTGAGGTGCTTGGAACATCAGAGAAATTAATAGAAAAGCTAGAGCCTCCAATCAGAAAATATCACAAACAACAGAAATGCCCCCACATAATAAAGAGTGCTTGTATTAGGATAGAGTAGCAAAATCACCCCCACATCACAGTGGTTTATTCTGACCAAAGCATTTATTTTCATTCCATTTATATAGGAGGTGGCATTGTAGAAAATAAAAACTTTCTCGAAGAGATACAAATTAAAGAAAAGTTAGAGTAAGGTGAATACTTGTTTAAAAGTACCTTTAGAGTGAGGGTAAGCCCCCTTCCCAACCCAAAATGAACTGAATGAGAGGGAGAGAAAAAGAGGTCCGGAGCAGTTTGTGGAGTGATGTTTCCATCTCTAATGCCACTTAGCTCAGGAGCAGGCTTCAGATACTGCCTTTATCGTTACAGAAAGCCATGGGAAGGAAAATGTCTGAGGTAGAGCTCAGCACTTCGCATCATAAGGCTAGTCACTCAGAAGTCACTAATCACTGTCCCTTTTCTTGTTTTTCAGTGAACGAGATAATTGGGAGAGACATGTCCCAGATTTCTGTTTCCCAAGGAGCAGGGGTGAGCAGGCAGGCTCCCCTCCCGAGTCCTGAGTCCCTGGATTTAGGAAGATCTGATGGACTCTAACAGTGCTCACTGCAGCCTTGTGTCCACCACCAACTTCTCAGCATGTTTCTCTCCTTGGACCTTGGGTTTCCAACTCTGCAGCCTTCAGGTCTGGCACCAGGAGTGGGACTCACCATTTGTGGGGAAAGCAGCGTTCCTCCACCTCAGGCCTTGGGTAGATTTTGTAAAAGAACAGGAGCAGCATAGGCTGTTTGAGCTTTGGGGAAACGAGCTTTGCTTTTTATATTTAACTAGGATACTTTTACGTGATGGGTGCTTTGAGTGTGAATGCAGCAGGCTCTTGTTTCCGAGGTGCTGCTTTTGCAGGTGACCTGGTTACTTAGAGAGGATTGGTGATTTGTACTGCTTTATGGTCATTTGAAGGGCCCTTTAGTTTTTATGATAATTTTTAAAATAGGAACTTTTGATAAGACCTTCCAGAAGCAAAAAAAAAAAAAAAAAAAAAAAAAGAAAAAAAAAAGAAAAAAATCCCAAGCCCACACCTATGCCTCAGAAAGTCAGCATGTGTCCTAAAGATTTTCATAGATTTATAGGAAATAAAGCCAAATGTAGCTCATACCTCTTTATAAAACTAAACTGTTGTTAGATAAAATGAGAAGAGACCATTCCATCATTGAAGTGTTGGAATATAAAAAGACATTCCAGAGCATAGCCTTTTGGTAACTTTCTAGGTAATCTTGCAATCTCTCCATACTGGCTCCATGTTGAAATTGCTTTTTCCCTCAGGACCCTGGGTTACATGGCTACATTTAAGGTGACTCTGAATGGTGGGGTTTTAGCTTGGTCACTTTCATTTCTTGCCATGATAAAAACTAGTAAGCTGTTCAGTGCTCTTCCTATTTGTGTCATCTGGTCCTAGAACCTTTTCCAAACAGGAGCATCTGCCTTTGCTGTTCTGTGACCTTTGAAGTCAGTCTCACGGTAGGCAGCTTCGCAGTTGTAACTCTTCTCTAGAGGCCAGGCTGTGTGCAGAGCTAAAGCACAGGTGAGCTGTACATCAGCATGGGCAGAGAAAATAGAGGACTCCAGATGGGAAGGTTTTAAGAGTCACACTAGCATGGAAGGCTTATCTGCCATTCTGTTTATAGCCCAAAATGATTCTGACCTACCCTGTCCTGTCTGTATGATCTAAAAACCAGCCTTTTCCCCAGAAGGCTCTGAGCACATCCAGAAGTGATAACCTGACCCTCCACACCAAAGACACCCTGGTGCTGCTGCTGGTGAGACTGGTGTCTAAGGCAGGGCCCAGCAGAAACTGCAGCCTGCTGTCTACCAAAGGAGGTACCCAAGTTGGGTACTTTAAAAAAAAAAAAAAACCTGCCCTTACCCCTCTCCCTAGTGGGATCTTTTACCTGTTCCTGGGCCTATTACAGAGCCTCTGAAGTTTGCAGTATGCTTTCAAATGAAATAATATACTTCCACTGATTCAGGAAGCAGATTTTTTGAGTGCCTATATGTGAGACAGTGTGCTGGTTGAAGGCCTGATGCTGTTATTCCAGGAGACTGCAGGCCCTTGATGCCAGGACTCTCTCTACTGAGGCCAGTTCAGGCCTGGGAAAGGGAGCTGGCCTATTGCCCACCACCTGTTGTCAGTAGGGTTGGAGCTGTTGACTCAGGATGAGGAAGTATGGTCTTTAAAAAAAAAAAAATGTATTTCAGATTTCTCCTCTAAAGTTAGAGAAAAAGATCTGTCCTTCAGCAGATCACTGTGGCCCGTCTTGGAGCTGGGTGGTTTCAAATTTTCTTGAAAAGTGAGTTGTGTCACAGAATGTGGATAGTGAGATTTGCTTCTGGGCCTGTGGTTGGAAGCCCACAGCTTCCTTTGGAGGGGCAAGAAGTTGGCCTCTCGATTGACATTCCAGAGAAATGGCCAGACTTGCCTCTACTCTTTTGCCCCTGGTGTAGCTGCCTCACATGGGATTATTGCAAGAGTTCCCCTTGCAATACCCTTTGGGGGCTGCTTTGCTGCCCTCAAGAATTAAAAGCCTCTATGATCCAGAGTTGCTATGCACCAAATTTTGATGCCTTCTAAATACCTTGATGCCTGTAGCACTAGAAATGCTTTCCTATTTAAAATAAACATTACATTTTAAAATAGAGCTTTGTATACTATGTAAGCATTTTTATATCAGCTTTGTAAAAGTTTTGGTGTTAAGAGTCAATATTTTTTGGCTTTGTAGATAAAGACTTAAATTTTTGTGCAACATAGTGGTGTTAAAGCACACATCCATTGGACTATGCAAATCAATTTATAGTAGCAGCACTGAGCAACTGGGCACGTGCTAGTATGCACCCCCTCCTACTCTAACTGTGCTAGCTCTTGGGTTGAGGAATGGAATGAGTAGCCTTCTGCTTACTGGAGATGCACAGAGAAACATGGCTGAAAACAGCTTTAAAAGGAACATGTCTTCGGGTTCATGTGTGGTGCTGCTGCCCAGGTGTAAACTGTCCCCACCCAGGGCCAGCCATTATCACCAGACCTCTTCTGGGCCTGGCTGTGAAGCCTTGTCTTTGGTATTCAGAATGGATCTTTAAGGCTCAGATGGGCTCAAATTGAAACCTTGTGATTTATAAAATGGATGTTTAGTAAAGGAACTGGTTCTCAGTTATGTTTACAGCACTTGGAATTGTGTGTTCTTGTACATTTTGTATTTTAAAACCTTTTATGGGAGTGCGGTGCTCCTTACACAAATACAAAGGGAAGAAGAGCCAGCAGTTGAGGCTCCTCAGTTTTAGTGCTGAAATAATAAACAATGACAGGTCAACAGTCTCCTTAATCTGTCTGAGTGTTCCTGTGCCTGGGGTTGGTGTGGAGCTCCTCACTTTGGGGCAAAGTTAAGGGTCCTGTGGCTTTTAAAAAGTCCATTTGGTTAATAACTTTTCATTTAAGGAAGAGAAAATCGAGTTCCAAATTGCTTCTGAGGCTTCAGTTCTGTACCATTTAATGCGTGCAAAGGACATTCCACAGTGTCTGCTGGGTTCAGGGCAACTGGCTTTCCGAAGGCATACAAGAAAAGTTGGCTAAGTCCCCTTTAAAAGTCAAGCCTGAGTTTTTGTGTGGGGGCCTCCTGCCCCCTAATGTCTTCTGGTGATACTGCAGCACAGTCCATCAAAATAGTTCGTGGTTTTGCCATCTGTTACTCCTTATGCCCACCTCGGGAGGGGCTAGCATCTTTAGGTGGGACCATCCCTGGCACAACATGGTCTCTGAGGTCCAGATATTCTGAGGGTAGGGCTGGCTCCCTCTGCCTCCTTATCCCTCACCAGAGGGACAGGGGGAGGTAGAACATTGGGATCTTTACTCAGAGGCTCAGATGGACCCTTGATTCTCCCAGGAATCATACATTGAAGGTACCAGAGCTTCCATTTTAAAAAAGAAAGCAAGCCTGCCATGGACCTATCAGCCCCACCGTATCTGTTGGCATGGGCCACAGCCAGGACACACTAAAGGGCTCTCCAGGTGCCAGTCAAGATGCCTGGCTCAGGCCATCAGGAGCCGGTTAGCCCCATTCCACCCCTAGCCCTGCATGCAGGGTTCAGCCATTGTCTTTGGGGGAAACAGACAGAAGAATAAGTGGAGGGTGGAGCTGGGGCTTGGGCTCCTCTAGGTACCTTCTGAGAGCTTTGACAAGCCAGAAAGAAGCTACCAGGTTGAGGGTGCTGGTCTGGATGCAGGAGAGACATGTTCACTGAGGATATCAGCTGGCTCTTACCTCCTGGCTTTCTCTCCTACAAACACACCCATTCCTTGGGGGCTTGTAACACAGTGCGAGGTGGGTCACCAACAGGCATCAGACTGGTGTAGTCATCAGCAGGTAGCTACAGAAGGGATGCACATTTAGGGCAAAGAGCTCAGCCAGACCTGCCAGGCCCTCCAGCCACACAATCTCACCTGGTAGGCCTGGAAGACGCTAAGCAGATCCTTCATACCAGCTGTGTATGGGACACCCTGCATGCGGACCAAAGCTCCTGGCTGGGACAACACTGAGGTGGGAGCAGAGGCCAGGGCAGCAGTGGGTGTGGTGAGGTAGCCCACAGTGGTGGGGGAGACTGGGGGGCTAGGGTGGGAGAGACAAGGTTTAGTCATGCATGCCACATGTGGCCTAGACCGAGTCCTGTTTCCCTCCTCCCTTGCTTCTGCCTTGTGATTAGTTCAGTTCCTCCTCCCTGAAGCCCCAGCTTCTACAGAGTCATCTTCGATCTGTTTTGTAGATGGCGTTAGCCAGCTCCCACCTTACTCCCTTGTCATCTGGTCCAGAAAGGGGATCGTGACCCTTCCCTAGATTGGGACAGGGAGCGGGACTGTGGTGTTCTCTTAGCTGCAGGGTACCTTGGGTAGTAGGCTGTGTAGTTCAGGTAGAGTTGAGTGGCTGGCCCTGGATAGTAGGCAACAGGGGTGGGGGCAGCAGGTACCCTGGCAGCTGGGAGCAGTGCTGAAGAGGGGTATAGAGCTGCCGTCTCCGTGGGAATGAGGGTTGGGGTGGCTTGGAAGGTGGCGTAGGTAGGTGGTGAGAGGCCTAGAGACAGAAGGAAAAAGTGCATGTGCACGGAGCCTAGCACTGCCCTGGTTGGGGCAGCCAGAAAGGAGTACCCGCTATACAAAGTAGTAGGGGCTTACAACAGCCTGACTCCCACAGGCCTCCTTCTTCCCTAGCCCCTAGGGCACTCACAGGGCAGCTTGCAGGGCGGAGGGGACATGCCACTGCGGCCCAAGGTGCCCCCCATCAGCACACGGCTCATCTCCTCTGTGGAACAGGGGACCACCTCCACGTAGCGTTCCTTCATCACCTTCTTATGGCAACGCTGAGCAGTAGCTAGGGCTCGCTCTGCTGATGTCATCTGGATGAAGGCATCGCCCGATGGCCGGCCCTGTGCACACCATCTTGTGAGCAGTTTGTCATGTGTAAGAGTGCCTTACCCCTAACACACACCCCTTCCTATTGATGTGTTCCCCCTACCAAGCAGTGGCCTCACCTGCTGGTTGAGCACCATGTGCACACCATGGGGCCGGATGTCAGCTGCTGCCTCCCCCAGAAAGCTCAGGATGTCTTCAATGGTGGCCGTGTAGGGCAGGCCTCGGAGGCGTACACAGTCCCTCCCAGTCCCAGGTGCCAGTGGGAAGGGGATGGGCAGCAGTGGGGCAGTCAGTGTGGGAAGGAGTGGGCCAGATGCATAGCGGTTCAAGACCTAGTAAGGAAGGCAGCAACAGTCTGGTCATGCCAAGTAGGGTGGGGGCACAGAGGGCCACCCTGGAGTAACAGTACCTCTAGGGGTGGAAAGCCCTGGGTGCTCACCTGCTGCACCTCGGCTGCAGTGCTCCGGAAGAGTTCAATGTATCGCTTACCCAGCATGCCCTTGTGCCTGCGCAGTGCAGCCTGTGCCAGCTCCTCACAAGCAAAGAGGGCGAAGGCATCACCAGTCGGCCGGCCGTCAGGGTGGCGCACAAAGAGCAGCCCCTCGGCACCCCCAGTCACTGGGCACTCTGGCCCCAGGAAGCCTAGCACGTCCATTGGCCCAGCCGAGAAGGGCAGTCCCCGCAGCCGCAGGATCACTTGGTCTTCCCGTGACAAGAAACGAGCCACCTCTAGTGATGTGCCTGTGTGGGGGACATGGGAGTCACCTGCTGACTTCACTCATGCCCCTTCAGACACTCACCCATGCAGGGGAGCAGGCAGGCAAGGGGGTGGTGGGGAAGTGAGATATGGATCAAGGACCAGGGGAGCCAGGCCCTGTTTGGGGTATACTCACCCCCTGCGATCTTTACAAACTCCTCCCCTGTCGCCTTATACACCTGTGGGTACAGAGAGCAGCAGCCCGTGGGTCTCAGGCCTGGCTCAGATTGGCCCTGCTCCGCTCCCAGCCCAAAGCCCCACCTCAATATAGCGGACGCCCATGTGATGCTTGTGTCTCTGCAGCGCTAGGTCCCGCTGCTCGCTGTCCACAAAGCGGATGAGGGCCTCACCATTTCTGCGGCCCTGGGCGTTGAGGCAGAGCGCTACACCACCCCTGTGGAGCCAGTGCTGTTAGTGCCTCCTGGGTAGGCCTGTCCAGTTGGGCCCACCCACCCCACCACACCCACCTGGCCACGTTGAGCCCTTTGAAGAAGCGAGCCACGTCCTGGTCTGATGACTGCCAGGGCAACCCACGAGCCCGTACCACAGTCTCACTGTCCACCACATCTGCCTTGCTGCTGTAGAGGCAGGGCACAGTGCTGTCAGAGCTATCCAGCTGTTGTCACCCCCCAGCCCCTGCTCCCACACTCACCAAGGCCCCGTCTCATATTTCTGCTTTATCACCTCGGGCTTCGAAAACAATTGACCTGAGAAAAGATGGTGTGGGGGTCAGCAGGGTCTGCTGGAGAGGGGTCTCCCCACCAAGTTCTGCAAAAAGAGGACAGTTGAGGGAGATGAAGAAATGACAGGCTGAGCGCAGTGGCTCAGGCCTATAATCCCAGCACTTTGGGAGGTCAAGGTGGGTGGATCATTTGCGGTCAGGAGTTCGAGACCAGCCTGGCCAACATGGTGAAACCCAGTCTCGACTAAAAATACAAAAATTAGCCAGGCGTGGTGGCAAGCGCCTGTAATCCCAGCTACTCTGGAGGCTGAGGCAGGAGAATAGCTTGAACCTGAAAAGTGGAGGTTGCAGTGAGCTGAGTTTGCACCACTGCACTCTAGCCTAGGCTACAGAGCAAGGCTCTGTCACAAAGAAAAAGAAGAAATGACAAAGAGGCTTCCCCTGTGGTCTCTTAGAGAAGGTCACAGTGGGGAGGAGTAATAGGCCGGCATTCGTCATCCCTGAGAACAGGTGACAGGCAGTGAGGGAAAACTTACTGCTGGACTCTTTGAGTAGATCGAGGATAACAGCTACCATTGTCTTCACTTCCCAGACCCCAAAGTCATCCTCTGTGGCATCTGTCTCCAGTCCTAAATCTATGGGTAGAGAAGTGACAGTGAAGACAGCATAAGCACGAATCCTGTTTACCCCTGGGCCCAACTCCCCTCCATAGACACATGCTGGAGACCAGCATATAGATCTGTTTTGGCCCAGTTCATGTGTGCACTTACAGATCCCCAGTCCAGACATAGACACATACCCACATTCCAAACTCATCCTAGCACAGACACACAGACACAGGTACAGTCAGGGACTTAGCAGATGATGCAGACTTGCATGTGTCCATATTACCCACCCACCAGCATGCGCATACTCAGATACATGTACCCACAGTGGCTTGTCCACCCTAACCCTTCTGGGTCACAGATACCCTGTGCCATGGTGGCCACAGTGAGGTCCCTGGCAGGGCAGGTACTTGGATGTTGCATATGGAACTCTCTTCGGAGGTCGTAGAAGGAGAAGAATGTGTCGGGGAGCACCAGGTTCTGGGGGCACATAGGATTGGGGATGAGTGCCCTGCCCACCCTCAGGACAACAGGGGTCCTGGGACCCTTACTGACCCTGCCCCCCGCCCGGTTTTCCTTCAGGGCCATACCTTCCTGGAGGCCTCAGGGTGCAGGACCTGTCGCAATAGCTGCTGCCCATCAGTGCAGAGCATGTAGGGGCCCCCGCCCAGCAGAGCCACATCCCCATTCACCAGCTGTGAGAACTGGGGATAGGGAGTGGGGAGAGAGAAACACAGATTCACAGCTGGGCAGGCAGGAAGTGAGGGTAGGAGGAGGAAGGAGGCAGGCTGCAAAGCTGGTTCAGCCAGATGTTCAACCCTATCCTGCCTGGGAAGAAGAAGCCACACCTGTTGAGCCTAGCCCTATGTCCCTTCCCCTCACCCCCCAACCTTGTTCCAGTCCACTGTCACCTCCTCCAGGCCAAATGAGGGCAATCACACATAACCCAAGCCCTCAACACACACACTCCAGGAGTTTGGAGTGGGGCCAGAGCAAACACCTGGAGTGGGACAAGCAGGTGGGAAGAGGCGGAGCAAAGCAGGTTAAACCTGTCTCTGACCAGGCACCACCCTCAGACAGGTGGGGGAGGCCCAGTCCTGCCTGAGGCCCAGAAGGCTCATGGTCAATGGCAGCCCCGCCTCCAGGTCTGACCAACCGAGGGGCAGAGAAACTCCAAGGACAGAGCTCCACACTTGGACATCAGGGGCAGCATGAGCTTTGACCCACACCCTATCGACCGGCTGGCACTGAGCTGTTTGCTTATAGAGGGGGTGGCACTCCTGAGGCTGCCCAGCCCTCCCCCAGCCTCCATCCTGGCTGGAGAAGTATAAGCACTAATCACTGACCCACGGACCCTCCCTGCCAATTCTGTGAAACTTTACAACCTGAGGCTGACAGAGCAAGGCAACCCAGCTCTCCTCCAGCAAACTCCCCAAGTGAAGGGCCCAGAGCCCTTCTGAAACAGACAAGAATCATCATCGTGGTGCCTCCTCATCAGGAACCACAAGAGTTGTTGGAAGATGAAAGAATGTGTGCGTATAAAGGACTTAGACTATTACACTCAAGAGTCAGACACAGAGTGAGCGACGTAGTGAAGATAAGGAAAAGAAAACAGCAATGGAAACCACCTCCCACTTCAGCTAGGGCAGGAAGCACCCCAGGCCTTTGCACTCAGCAGGCAGATAGTCCCCCAGGCCAGGCCTGGACAGCGCCCACGCCTGGCCAGCCGGCCGGGACAGGCCTAGACGAGCAGTTTACACCTGGCGGCGTCTACCTCTAGGGCCGACACCGCCCTACGCCTCCACTCCAGCGGCTCCCAAGCGGGCCGAAGACGCGGGCGGCAAGGACTGGCGACCTATATGGGCCCCTCGACCCTTTTCGCTTCCGACTGCGGCTCAGGGAGACCTGACCCAGCAGGTCTCCCAAGGGCGTCTCGGCCTGGCTCCCCGGGCGGGAACTGGGGATGGATCCCAAAGCCTGCGTCCCGATCCCTTCGGTAGGAGTAGGTTCCTGCAATGGTTGAAAAGTAAAGCGCCCAGGGGAATGGCCGGCACGCGCGGATGAAAGGGACACGCACACGTGAGAGTCGCTCAAAGTTTCAAACAAGACCCCGTCCTGCCGCCCGGGCCGGTTGGTTGCGGCACGCCAGGCCTAGCCTCCGG